AAAACTTTTTGACCAAAAAAAAAATTAAAAAATAAATTTGACTTTTTTGGATGAAACACTGAAAAAAGAATTTGGTATTGACAACCAAACGTTTGGTTGGTATTTAAGCATCCAAAATTTTTTTGTTGAATCAACAAAATTTTGGTTGTCCCAATTAAACTTTAGTTAGGACAACAAAAATCTTTTTTTTCTAATTTTGGTTGTGTTAAACAAATTTTGGTTGAGACAATTAAAATTTTGTTGATTCAACAAAAAAATTTTGGTTGCTTAAGGAGGTTCATCCCTTCAAGCGGTACTCATTCTATTAGGGGTTTTCCGTAAGTTTAAAACCGACAGCTATAGTCCATAAAAGTTGAGCTCCACTGGCCAATTTAGAGGTTATGTTGCCGTTTCTCCTCTTCTTTCTTTTATTTACATGGGATAAGTTCAAAAGTTGCTAATTTTGATTAACATTTACTTCACAACCAAACGGTAAAAAAATTTCATATTTTTGTAAAAACTGTTAAAACTCATAATTTAAAACATATTAGTTTTTGAAAAAAATCTGTAGAACCGTTTTTTTTGAATTAATGAAAACATGGTCGTTTTTCATGTTTTTTCACTGTTCCCATGTAAAACTTCAAACTTTATCAATTTTTATCTTGAAAATGATACGGTAAAATTCAATAAAATTTGAACAACACATGTAAAGTGATGTCAATAATACATCTTAAAAATTTTTAAAAAATCTGTAGAAAATCGATTTTGGGATGAACCTCCTTAAATACCAACCAAACGTTTGGTTGTCAATACCAAACCCTTTTTTTTTAGTGAAGATAAGAAAAAAAAATTTTTTTTTTTAAACAAAAGCTGATGTTTTTACCTATAGCCCAGCTTGCTTTAAAAAAAATCAAATTTATTTTTCATTTTTTTTACCCAACAATTATTTTTTTTTTAATGCATTTTATTAATTAGAAGGACGTTAAAAAGGCTATTGAAACTAATATTGAAAAAAAAATTTATTTGTTTCAAATACAGAAATTATTGATTCAAATGGAGTTTATTTAATTCAAATAAAAATTATTTTGTTCAAGTAAATATTTATTTGTTAATAGGTCAAGTAACCGTTTATTTGAATGAAATAAATTTTTTCTCCAGTGTATGTATATGAAGAAAATAAAATTGTTTGTGTTCGAATAAATAAAAAGAAAATTTTCAGTAAATGAATTTTTTTTAATTTTGAATAAGAATAAAAAAATATTCGATATGTATACTATTGTATAAAATTATATACATTTATGTGTCTTTGGTATTTATTTAACATTTTACGCTTTTAGAAATTCTTCCTTTTGATATATTCCTATATATTATATATATCTATGCATATATCACGTACGTGAAAGCTGCGAAGTCATTGATCAATTTCAGACATTTTAAGGAGCCATAAAAATTTTACATAACTTAGAAAAAAAGGGATTAAAAAAAATCACTGTCGTGAAATGGACTACAAGATAAATTATTGTAACCTTTTAAATTTGTCATTGAGACAAAAAAATAATCATTTTTTTTTTTTTAAGAAAAAGCGATTTGCACGCCTTTACATAACATATCGCTAAATTTTATTATTGGTCAAAGTCCTATTATACATGCTCTTTCAAACTACCTTTTTTAAAATATAAATACAAATTTTGAGACATCATTATAATTTTGAAGAAAGAAATATTTCTTTTGAATTTTAGACGTTTCCCAAGTTACTGTTGACAAATCTTTTTTTAAACTGTTTTTTATATTTTCTGAATATTCTTATAAATAAAAAATAAAAGAGATGAATTATTTCTTAAAAAAAGTTAATTATTCAAAAAATTATTAATTTTTAATAAAATTAGATTCAATATTATAAACAAATACAAATTTAGAAAATTCATTAATAAACTATTAAATAATAAATGATTAATATTTCATTAATAAATTAATTAATATGACTAGTGCTTTGATAAAAATCAATTTTAGAAAAGTATCTATTTTGTTAAAATGCTAAAATAAAAATTAAAAATAATTATTTTCGAAAGTTACATTTTTTAATGTCTCATTTTCTGAAAGAAAATATATGATTCATGATTCCATGTAAAATTGAGAAAAAAATAGATGCCTGCATAGCTTGACAATAAACAAAGCAGTTGAATGTATAACTGCAAATTAACAATTTTTTTTTTTTTCCTCTAAAATGATGAATAATAATTCGCATTATATTCTAGGAAATATGATATATGAAAAAAAAGATACGACTAATTTTATACAACTAAAAGCATTTTTTCTTCGTTCAGTTTTTTAATTTTATTGAAAGTTCGAATTACAAAAAAATCGAATTTTTAGAAATTTGAATTATCAAAAGTTTGAATTGTTAAAAGTTCGAATTACAAAAAATCGAATTTTTAGAAATTTGAATTATCAAAAGTTTGAAATCCAAAAAGTTCGAATAAGTTAAAAGTTCGAATTACAAAATATTGATTTTTTAGAAATTGCATAATTATCAAAAGATCGAATTTTTAGAAATTTTGAATTGTTTAAAAGTTCGAATAACCAAAAGATCTATTTTTTGAAATTTTAATTATTAAAAGTTTGAATTACAAAAAAAAATCGAATTTTGAAAAGTTTAAATTATAAAAAGGATATCACCGAAAAAAAATTCTCTTGTTTCAAGAGGATTCCTCTTATTTCAATGCACATTTTCCTCTAGTATATGCTGCAAAAGGATGTCCTCTAGGTTTAAGAGGATTGTCCTCTATGTAAAATTATTCCTCTTAACTTAAGAGGATACTCTTATTTTAAGAGGAAAATATCATCTTAAAAAGAATTCTGAAATAATAAAAATGCAATCATCTAATTTGTATGTCATAGATATAATCTATAAAATTAAAAGGAATAAAATTTGTTATTCCATGATTTACATCTATATTTGAGTATAAATAAATTGAAATTGTTTTTAATTTTTTTTGAATAAATCAACTAAATCTATTTTTAATAATATTTTTATGCGCAAAACATATAATTCATTAAATTTGAAAATTTATTTTAAATAAATTTTCAAATAAAATTAAAATAAATAAAAATCGTAATAAAATAAATTTTTAAATAGCATAACCTCAAAATTATTTAAATTTTCTTAAAAATTACTTTTAAAAATTTCTTTTACCAACAAAAATAGGCACGTATTGTGTAAGTTGCAACTCTATCAAGATATTTAAAAGATTATTATCCATTTTGGTTTATTCCCCTTTTTTTCACACAGAAATTAAAACTTTTTCACGCATGATATGCGATTTATGACGCAACGTAAATGATATGACGCAATCATCTTTGCGCATGAGCGACTTTCTATGGGAAATCCTCTTAGAATTTAGAGGAATATTCTTAAATATAGAAGATTATTCTAAATTCTAAGAGTATTTTTTTTTATTCTAAAAAGATTATTCTGAATATAAGAGGAATGCTCTAGAATAGTCCTTTTGTTTCGATCCTCTTGAAATTAGAGGAAAATATTCTCATTTAAAGAGTAATACTCTTGTTTTAAGAATAAAATTCAAGAGGATTCTGTAAGAGGAATTTTCCTCTGAATACAAGAATATTTTTTTTCCGTGTAGCATTGTTAAAAATTCAAATTTCTAATTGATTGAATTTTTAAATGTTTGAATTATCCAAAAAAAATCAAATTTTTAAAATATGAATTTCTAAAAGTTCAAATTTCCGAATGTTCGAATTATCAAAAAAAAAATCGAAACTTTTTACTCATTTAAGTTTAATACAAAAAAAGACTTTTTTAAACAAAGAAAACATTTTTAAAATAAAAAAATAATTCTTTAATAAAATTTCTCAAATCTAAAAAAATATTTTCGTTCACTATATAGTACTTCACTCATAAATTATTATTAATTTTTATCAAAAACTATAGAGAGGGGAGGGGAGAGAGAGGATTAAAATTTTGTCAAAATATAAAAAGTGGATTTTTTAATACAGGACATTTTACCAAAATTTTGAATTTTTTTAAAAAAAATTTGCACTATTCAAAAGAGCAGGAAGAAACCTTTCGAAATCATATATATATATAGGTCAAAATTTTTTTCATCCTTTTATAAAATATTTATGATTTTTCAAAAAACCAAATTTCGCCCCACCTATACAATTTAAATTGAAAGAAATTGGGGAGAATTTATGTATACCCTACGAAACAAAAGTAAAAACTATATTTAATGCATTGATATAAAACTGGTTTACCCTCACCGATACTGACCTTGTGTTGATCAGAAACATGTCAATGTCATCGTTAATGAGAAACGACAGTGAATCTTGTACATTATCTTTCAAAATAGGGTCATTTTCCAGTGGAGAATTTCTGTTAATTTTTTTTTTTTTTTATATATATATATATTTTATATTTATTAATAAGAGAAATAAATCACTAATAAACAGAAAATCCTCCTGATCAGAAAGAAACAAATGCATAAACAATGTAAATTATATGGTATTTATACATAATTAATTCACTATAGACACATTATTATTATTGCAATATCACCAACACTTATTGATTGTCAATTTAGAAAAATTTATTAGTTAAATAATCGTATGATTATTTTAATTAATAAATTTTTCTAAACATAGTTTTCTTATAATTATATATTATATTATTATAATATTAGGTAATTATATATTTCACTTGCATATTTATTAGACTGTAAAAATAATTTATTTAATTCAAATAATCCGGTATTACTTAATTATTATTTATGAAATAAATATTTATTTCTATTAAATAATATGATATTTGTTTCAAATACAGAAATTATTGGTCCAAATGCAATTTATTTAATTCAATTATTTTGTTTCAAAAATTATTTGGTTCAAGTAAATATTTATTTGATAATAGTCGTTTATTTGAATCAAATAAATTTTTTTTTCCAGTGTACCAAAAATATATGTATGTACCAAATAATATGTATAATGTTATTAAATTTTTAACAAACCTGTATTATAATGCGAAGCTAAGATGCATTTACGAATGAAAAGAATTTTTCTTCAAAATTTTCAAACACGCGCGAAAACTTCATATTTAAAAAAAAATTTTTTTTATTTAATTCTGTTATAAAATATCAATAAGACACTTTTTTTTCATTACAGTTTGTTTTTAATTTTTTTCAAATCATAATTTTTTTTTTCCTTTTTTTTATATAATTCGTTTCTTTCAATGTTTATCATGTATATTTTTACGAGATTGTCAGTATTGTATATACGTCATTTGCAGACATGACGTTTAAAAAGTGACTCGAGGGTTTTTGCTCTTTTGTTAACAATTATTTTTTGTTGACAGGTGTAATCGCGAAATAGAAGAAAAAAAAAGACGCGGTTAAAGTTCATATTGATTTACACATGAGATTCGAATTTCGATTGATAGATACGCACACACACACATACACAAACATAATTCTATTAATAAATATATTATCAAAAAAAAAAAAAAAAAAAAATACTTGACTAGAGATTTTTTTTACATTTATAATGTATTTTACATATACAATAGACTAAAAAGGTATATAATATATATATTATCCGCTCAATGGCTCTGATGACAATGATATGAAATTTCTTAATAAATTTACTAATTTCTTTGTCCTTGCTTAACGGGATCAATAACTCAATGGTATATTTTTGTTTACAAATTATTAAGCGCCTTAATTGATTGTGATGATATATTCCACAATGGCTAAACTTCCTAAGACACGGAAATCGATAACCATATTCTACGTTGATAATGTATATTCGCTTACTTCCTCTTTAAGTTTGCCTTTACATATGTACACTCAGCAGTAACAATTTATTATACATTTGATAAAGATATTTACGTTGACAATAATTATTTTCAAATGATGTAGTTGAATTTTCGAATTTATGAAATTAATTATAAAAATATCAAATATAATAATTTATTTAATAATAATTAATGGTTAATTTATTATATTTCATTTAAATAAGCGGACTATTTTTAGAAAAATTTTTGATAATTATTTTAATAATGATTATATTTGCACTAAGAAAAAAGAATTCTTAATTTAAATAGCTGTTTGAACGATTTTATTTAATTTAACACATTTTATAATTTTTATTTTTATAAAAAATATCTATTACTTTTATTTAAAAATATTATTTATTTGAAAGAAAATTATAATATGTTTGATTTAATCTTAAGAGTTAGTTTAGAATGGGAACATGTAAATTTCCACTGGAAATCAAGTAGAACGTGCGAAATATGACATAGCTTTATATTTTTGACACCTGCCTTACTCTGCTTTTTCCTATTCTATTTCCCCGCCCTGTATCGAAAAAAAGCTACCATTCCCTGCAAAGTGTCACAATTCAGATGTTCTACTGATTATTTCATATTGTTAATATATGATTTTGACATGATTCTTAACCTAAAAAATTATTTTTTGCATGCTGTTCCGAGATCATTTTAACTACAAGTTCATTCTGTGTCTCATTTAAACTTAATATATTTTACTGTATAAGAATATATTAATTTTGAATCAAACAAAATTTATGTTTTAAGAAAAGGTACCTGAGAAGCAAACGAATTATAGGTTATGTTGTTTATTGCTTGTTTTACGAAAAAAATATATTTTCTAGAACATTCTTTATTTAAATTATGAAATGTGACAAAGTAAGATAATTTACATAAAATAAAGTAATATAAAAAATTAATTTTAGATAATTTAGATAAAATGAAATTATTTTAAAAATAATTGAGTTAAACACGAAAAATGCTTGCAAAGATGACGGGTACCACTTAAAAAGTTAGTTCTTAACGAAAAAAGAATATGCCAATAGTTGAAATTTGTCATATTAATTACCATAATAAGAAAATTAAGGTGGAGCACGACTCCCCATGAGGCACAATTCCCCACTCTCCCTTTATATGATTCACAGGAAATACTAATATAATATCCCCGAACGTTTCCGAAAAATGCCGAATATAGTACCGGAGTTTTTTTTTCGAAATGCTGTGATTGGTTGAAGTATGCGTTTTTTAAATCAGCGCGCATATTTTTGACCAATCAAGCTCTTGAACTGTACAGAGCAGACGATGCAGGAACTATTTTGGAGGTTAGGTACAGTTTTATTTATATCATAAAGAATTTACAAATTTATACAAGTCAGGTCGGTTCGATGTGTTTTTATAAATTTTTAATTTCTTTTGTAAATAGTGTATATATTGTTATTATTCTTAAATAAATATTGACCTACAAACAAATAAACGAAAATCGGTTCTGTGGTTAGGACTCTCGACTATAGTGTCAATGATGTATTTTTAACGCTAAGAATCCTGTAAATATTGTTCAATAAACATTGTTTTCACAAAAAAAACTCGACTCGCGTGCGCGTAGGTTCTAGTGTTTTCTATACTGGAAATCAAATATGTATATATATATTTTTCATACAGTCAAAATTAAAAATAAAAATTCTCGATTAACTGTGTTTTTAGGTTAGGTGTTTCTTCTCTTTATATTTTATTAACTTATTGAAATTTAATATAAACCATACCAATTTTTTATACAAAATCCAGTTTATCCTCACTTTAAAACATTATTAAAATTTAGAATAAAAATTCCTAATATTCCAAACATAAGGTCTTTTAGTGCAGGTTTTTCAATTCTCATACAGTAAAAAATATAAGATACAAGAACCGCGGATTCCGGTTACAAGCTCAATAGCTGGTAAACAAATCCGTGAGAATCTCGGATACAAACACATTTCGGTATCCGAAATGCTCATAAGCTTGTAAACCTCTGCATTAAAAACATTGTGAAAATAATGTTTTGTTGGTAATTCTACCTTGTTATTCGGAAAATATGGTTTTCTACTTTAACGACATTGGATATTAATTTAACGCGGTTTCTTCAATTTTCCAATTTCAAACACAATTCAAAATAATCAAAATGTTATTTAACATAATCAAGTGCTCATTTTTAATTTCGTTTACCCCTTTTAATTAAATAATTTTAGATTACTATTGAAATTGAAAATTCGACAATACCCGCGTTAAATTAATATCCAATGTCGGTAAGGTAGAAAACCATATTTTCCGAATAATAAGGTAAAAATACCAACAAAACACTGTTTTCAAAATGTTTTTAATGCAGAGGTTAGAATTACCCAGGTGCGAATTTCGGTCGGCCACCAGAGATGGTTGGTCGGCCCGTGGTCGGCACAACTAGGGCTGCACGAGAGTCGGCCGCCCTAGTTAGGTCGACCATAGTAAATATTGTCACCCAAAGGTGGCCTGACTATGGTCAACCATGGTTCGCATAGTTGGACCGACTGTGGGGGATAATGGTCGGCAGCCACAGTTGGACCCACCTTGGCCGCCCTAGTTGGGCCGACTATGGAGAACAATATTTAAAATTTCTAAAAATACAATCGGCATAGTTCCCCATAGTCAGGCCAACTGTGGCTGCCGGCATGACTTGGGCAGCCACAGTTGGGCCAACCTTGGCTGCCATAGTTGGGCCGGCCATTTGGCATAACGGTCGGCAGCCGCAGTTGGGCTAACCTTGGTCGCCCTAGTTGGGCTTTCTTAAAAATACATCCAATTCACTTGAAACATGCAACTTGGAGGTTTTTTGGGTCGATGAAGACGATTCCAGAATTGATGCAAAAGGAAAGTGCAAATCCAAGTCCAACTGCATATTCCATGAGAGCAAAAGAGACAAAGAGACTATCTATCTCTTGTACTCACGGGATTTGTACTTGGACACATTCTGGAATCGCCTTGACTAAGAATTCGATGTCAAATCTTCATTTTCTCATAGCTGGGTTAAAACAAACTATTACTTTTTGATTAAATATATTCTTTCAATTCTACGAATAGAGAAATTGATTTTTTGTGAGTAGGAAGAGTTTTTTAAAAAGTCGTCCTAACTAACACTGGATTCGCAATCAGTGACCCCAAAAACCCCTGAGTAATGAGTTTTATGTGAATTGGATGTATTTTTAAGAAAGTCGTCCGCCATATTGGATTCGCCATTTTGAATTTTTAAAAACTAACATCGGATTGGCAATCAGTGACCCCAAAAATCCCTGTGTAATAAGTTTCAAACTAGTTAATTCAATTATTTGGGTTCAACTCATTTTTAAGTGTTTACATCTTGCTCACTTCGAATTTTACACTTTAACCTCATTTTACAAAAAATCTGTCCATTTTTTTGGATTTTGTCATTAACATTTTTTGTTCAAGAGGTCAAAAGCTACAAAATTGCAAAGTTATAAGAAATTTAACCGAGAGTATTTTTCCCAAGTATTTGGTACGGGATCCTTTGCTTTGTTAATAGTAGAAATTTTTTTCAGGTAGAAAAGACAGTTCAAATAAGGAAGTTTAATTTTGTACAATAGATATAAAGGTGTCTTGTCAAGGCAACATTCACTTTCTAAGTAGAAAAAGTAGTTTTGCAAGACTTATTGAAAGCTGAAATATGGTTGGGAAAAGGGTAAGTATTTTTTAATGATTTTTTTCAACTTAAATTTTAGCGATTTTTAGTTGTTGGCATTTACAGAAAAAACCTGAACTCAAAGTGATTACGAATTTCGTACTCATCAAAACTGAAATTGGTTGTCTCATTTTGAGTTCTAAGGTAAAAGTATCAAAATGAAACAGGCAAGATTATCATTTTGAGAATAAGAAAAAGGTGAAAATATTGTGAAATAACCAATAATTTTGCACAAATACATGAAATATAATAATAACCAGACGTAAATAAATCCTAGACTTAATAAATTTGATTGAAAACTGCTTGTAATCGCGTAATAAAATAATAAAGGAAATATGTTTTTAGGTTATAAAAATGAAAACATGCCAACTTAAATAATAGCGGTAAATTTCAAAATTTATGAAATTAATTATTATCTAAATAAATAATAATTAATACTTTTTACCTAAAAATTATTAAATATTCTTACTGGTAAAAATAATTTTTCTGGTATTGTTGAAATATTGGAAAAAATAATTGTAATACAGAATTACTCTGTAAATGATACCAACCTAGAAATCTAAAATTCCGGGAAGAATCATTTTGAGTAACATGAAGTTTGTTCTTTACTCATTTCGAAACCTATCATAAAAATAAAAAATTTGAAAAATAATTCCAATTTCATTGAAATTTTTTATTTTAATAAAAAACTTAAATATGAACCTGAAATTCATATTTATGTCAAGAATATATATATTGCCATGTTGTACGAGTTTATTTGTGTCAAAACATTGTAATTAAAATGAATTGAAGTGTAGTAATAATTAAAGGAAATTATACAAAAAAATGTTTGTGAATCCCAAGATGGTTTTTAGAATTTTTTTTTTCGATTTTTACGAATTCCAGCAATTAGCACACAAGGACAATTCCACCAATTATTAATGCCATCTAGGATTCACTCTTTGATTAATTAGTGGTGGAATTAATAAGTCGTCCTTATAGGTGTGTATACAATATATATTATTGATTTGCGTTTTATGACTGGAGCAGTTGAAGAGGAATTATTGATTGTCTATTAATGAGCTTTTGAAGTGTAAGATGCT